GTATATTGACATATTGATCTCACTCGAGCTTACGTCTCCCGCCCGTGATTTGAATCGCACGAGAAAGGAGGCGACATATTTGCTTGGTTTCGCCGCCGCTCCGCACCTTTGCAGACTCCCCCTCAACCCCGGCCCCGCCGGTTGTCGCCGACGAGGTGTCCAACCCCTCGCCAGCCGGCAGCACCGCCTCCGTCAACGCCGCCAAGCTTGACGTGCTAGCCGTAGAGGCTGCTGCTGCTGCCGCTGCTGCTGCCGCCGCTGCGGCGGCGGCAGCAGCAGCACTAGCCGAAGACTCGGTGCTGTCGCGGCCTGGGGCCGCCGATCTTGCCGCGGAAAAGGCATCGATTCCTGATTAAGGCGCACACAAGAACCGCGGCGGGTAGGCGTTACGTATGTTGAGAACCAAGCACGGTCGGGGGGAGGGGGACCGGTATTCTACAAAATGAAATGAGTGACGAAGAAGACGACGAGAAGACGCAAAAAATCAATTCACGTCGCGGCAGAGGTATCAGGGCACGCCGAAACAGAATGCCCTGCAAAGAGTAAAGCATTCACACCAGCGGAGGTGGGCCGGGGCGGGGGCATGGGAGCGCCAGTCCCCCGCTAGGGAAGGGGTCGGTGGGTACCACCGACCACGCAAGCAAGGCAACACAAACCAACCATTATAGCACACCCGATAGCTCCAGGGCGAGAACTCCCTTCTCGAGAGATCAACCCGGCTCCAACCTCACGTGGAACGGCTTCTTGGAAACAGACAGTGGAAGAACACTCCAACAGCGCCCACCGCGAACGACCAGCAGACACAACGGTATACTGTTCTTACTACCGCAGGATGCGACGACGCCGTTTGCGGCGGAAAACACTAGACNTTGCCTCGTCGGGGAGCCGCTGTCGGCCCGACCTCCCGGGGAAGCGAGGGTATTGCTCCGCAACACTACCGCTCGAAGAAGGCTCTTCGTTATTGAGGGTGCGGTAGTGTTGCGGAGCAATACCCTCGCTTCCCCGGGAGGTCGGGCCGACAGCGGCTCCCCGACGAGGCAAGGCTCGAGCCGCATCACCTCCGGCGGGTCGACGAGGGCGAACGTCTCTGGCTTATACACCTTGGCCTTGATCGTGATCACCTATCGTTGTTGTTGGTTCATGTCATGGATGTGTGTTGTATTTAGTAGTAGTTGTAAATAGTTGTGTTGATGTGGGTAATGCTGCGGTTGATTGTGTCTTTGTCTCGTCGTCATCGTCGTCGTCATCGTCGTCGTCATCGTCGTCGCAGTTGTTGTTGATGTGGGTGTGCGTGTATTGTGGCGGTAGCGGCGGTGCTATGGTGCTTAAACGATAGAGAGCAACGCAACATGCCACGTTGAAGGAACACGACTGAAATCGTTCCATTCCCCGTTCCTCATGCCAGGCCAGAAACCGACAATTTTCACGGAAGCGGTTTTCATGAAACTCCTTCGATCAACACACACTCGGAACCAGCGTTTACAACTATAAATATTCGGACGGACGTACAGCAGAAGTCGTCCCTGTTGAAGGCCCCATAGTGCCAAGGCATTTCGCCGGCCGCAAACCGGGCATCCGGCACCATGTATAGATCGAGACAACGTGAATATTCCATATTTCTGTGTCACGCGATTTCAACGGCCTTACACAGGGCGACCGCGCCTTGGCCTTATGCAACAGGGACCACCATCTACGATGGCTCCGGGCAGAGCAGCCTCCGACAAAATATGGAGGCGCGACACAAGCTCTCGAACTTCGGAGAGGTAAGACTCAGGAGACGGGCCATGCGGCTAGAGCACGGAGACACACGACACGAGGCAATGCCACGCGGCAGCGGCAGCAGCGGTGCCCGCTGTGCCTGCTGCCGCCCACAAAGACCACGCACACTACCCTACCTGCGTGTTGCTCTCGGCCCGGACGTTGGTTACCGACAGCGACTCCACGAACGTGCCCGCGAGGCTGGGGCAAAACGCGAACTCCACGGCCTTGGAACGGTGGGCAGGGATCACCCCGTTGCCGTTACCCTGCAAACACAACAAACCACCCCCACCAGGCAATCGTTCGTCACAGACAGGAAGAAAGAGAGGGGTACGATTAGGCACAAACGCGAGGGGGGAGGGGGGGTAGACTTTGACTTGTCGTGAGCGCGCATCATTGTGAGAGATACGCAGGCGGGGTCGAGCGAAAGTCCCGACGTTTTCAAACACGAAATGTTTTTTTCTCCAAATATCCTGACGCAAGCTCATGGACAAGAATGTACCAATTCCAAGCACGTTCCAACACAGCAAAAGCAGTAGCAGCAGCAGCAGCAGCAGCAGCAGCAGCAGCAGCAGCAATAGCAGCGACAGCAGTCAGCGCCGGCTCGCTCGGTCAACCAAGACAGAAAAGTGCGGTAAGTGTGTGTTGCTTGCCGACGGGGGTAGACGAACGTACACAACGACAGGACCCGGCGGGCGACCTACATCGTCCTCTTCCACACCACACGGACGTTGAGGCGCGTATCGTGCATGCGCCGTTCCGTGCACCCGGGATGGGTGTGACAGAGAACCACGAGCCATCCAGCCAGTTCCAGCGCAGCAGGCACACGACGCTTGCCTCGTCGCGACCGTGAAAAGCAAAATGAGGCTGGGACAGCGGAGGTCCTTCTGCTTTTCGCGCGTTTGCCGTTTAGACATGAAATGGTCTAGTCTAGGCATGGCACGCTCTAAACGGACCCTCCAACGAATACATCTTGTCTTGTTGTTCAACACCATAATACGAGCTGTTGAGAGCTGCTCGTAGACTACGGCAACACGCAAACATGCCTGCGGTATCTTGAGAAACCCAGAGCTGATGCTCCTGCTCTTGCTGATGCTGTAGAACAGTGGGGCCGGCGAGCGGTTTGTCAGCTCCACCGTTTTCGTTGCGTACTCCCCGACCTGGCGTTGTCATCATCATCGTCGTCGTCGTCGTCATTGTCGTCGTCGTTGTGGTCGTGGTCGTCACAGAAAAGGACATGGTGACGTCACGCGAGAGGCGCAGGTCTAGACATCAGCACCACACGGAGAAAATGCGGCATTGCTGCAAACGCGCCATGTTGAACAAAAGCACCCCTGCCCCGCCCCCCCTCCTNACAGGTGCCCCGCCCCCCGCCCCCCCGCCACATATGCTTACCGCAACTTTCCCGAAGTTGATATTCTTCTGTGCGACGCCCATCTCAGACCGGCATGCCTTGCCCCGCACGAGGAGGTTCCGCACTCGAAGGGGCTCACGCCTCAGCGCGGGAGGAGTCGGCCTCCCCCCCCTCCCGCCGCCGCCGCCGCCGCCGCCCGCTACCCCGATGCCGGAGGCGGNGGCCGCCGCGGCGACGGCGGCGGCATCCCTGCGGCGGAGGCTTGGGGGGAGGTTGCTGGAGTTGACGTTCAACAGCTTCATCTGCGCCGTTGAAGGGAGAGGGGGTTGTTCGTGTTAAAACTGCTCTGGATCTCCACATACCGTATATGACACAAGAAAAACATCCCCCTTGGACCAATTTTCAAAGCTCGACTTCGCCATAACGAAGAGAATGCATGATTGAAACAATACATTGTCGGAAAGCTCTCGACGACAAGCTTCAACGCCACCGTTTTCGGCGTTGTTACTCTTTCTGTTGTTGAGAAATCGACATTTGAAAATCGGTCTATGGTGTGTATTATCTTGTGTCATTTACGGTAGTAGAAGTGACACTAAAATCCGTGCTGGCGATCCAGCAACATATATGGTACGGAGGAACAACTCGCCGTGGTAACAGGCAAAAAACTGGCAAGCATGGCGAAAGCCCACAAAACTAGGCAAAAAGTACCCACGAAAAAAAAAGAACCATTATTTACCGTAAAGATCAGCAGAAAACGTGCAAGAACGGCATCGGGTTTGCAGGATAGAAATGGCGGTAGGAGTTGGTTCGGTACCCGGTGCGGAAGGAGCCGCAGCGCCATGGCTTTACCCAGAAAACCACGAACCGGGACGGTTTCATGGATGGCGGACGAACAGGCGCTTCATAGCTACGTAAACACACGGTACCATGCAGCTGCAGGCATTCTGAACGATGATGCACACGGGCGTGTCAGGTACGGCGGTGGATGTTTTTCTCGCCTGAATATGTCTTTCGACCGTGCGTTCTCGTTGAAGCTCCTCCTGGCTTCCCGTGCTGGCCAGGGTCAGAACCACGGCAATCCGGGTGCGTTTTCCCGCGGGTACCTGGCGCAAAGCAAAAAAAAAATGCAGAAAGAAGAGTGTTGCGGACAAAAAATTATCTCGTCTCGCTCCAACCGCAGCCGGGTTAACTATGCCTACCATGCTCCAACCGCTGACATACTGCAAAACAAGGCAAAGCACGGTTCGGGTAGAAACAACGACGACGACAGGACGCGCTACCCCCTTAACAACCTGGGAGTAAGATAACAACTCCACGCCACGCGAACAAAAAAGGAAAAGTACAAACCTTGACCGTAAGAACAGGTCCTCCGTCAAGAATCCCACGCTGACACCAACTAAAGAGTTGCCGTTGGTCTACCCAACCACAAGAGAAGAAAGAAACGAGTCCAGGGTAATCTGAGAGGTTCTTAAAAGTGGTGGCGCCTTCTGCACCGCCGTAGTTGCGAAAAGAAAGCAGGACGGCGAGAAACACAACAGCTTGTCCTAGGCCAAGGACGCGACCCATAACCGAAATCACAACACCCGGGCCGCCCACACCATACCATTGCCTGCAGCACGCAGAAGCAGGAACCGCTGCCCAAAACAACACCGATGGAAGGCAAACGTCATCAGACAAAAACATCGCCCCCCTTTTCTTTTTTGTTTGTCTTCACTTCAAATCAGCGCTCACAGCGTTCGTGCCATTCACTCCAACCCGTGGTCACACGGAAGGAATCCTCTCCCTGAGCCCCCCCCTATCCCTGTGGTGCTTTGCCCTCCATTCTTGAAGCGACAAGAGTGCAGCGCTCAGCACTCTCTTCTTCCACCTCACAACGAGAAGAAAAAAATTAACTCGCCTGAACGAGACGGTTGCCCAGCGGCTTCAGCTTCTCCCGCGCGATGGCATTCCTCAGCTGTAACACCCTCTCCTTCATCAAGCTCACGCCCGCCGCCGCCCCGCTCCGGCCAGACTTCGACCTCAGCCCCCCGCCGCCCGCGCTCTGCCCCTCTCCTCCACCATCGCCCGCGCGCAGAAGCCTTTCGAGTCGATCGCCCTCGAAGCTTTCGGCCAACTGCTCCAGCGTCCACTCGTCGGTGCCCGCGGGCAGCGCTTGGGCTGCTGCTCCGGTCTTCCAGCCGACCACGCCTTGGGCCTGCAGCCCGCCGACTCCCGCCGAGACGCCTCTGCCGCCGTCCGTGCCGCTACCGCCGCCCGCTGCGCTAACGCTGCCGCCGTCGGTGTCGCCGGCGCCCGCGTTCTTCGGTGCCGTCGGTGCTGATGACGCTGCTGCTGTCGCCGCAACGCTGCTGCTGCTGCTGCTGTTGCTGTTGCCCCCACCTGTTCTTCCATCCCCATTTTCCGCCTCCTTTGTGCCGCGCTCGAGGCTGCTATCCATGATCAGGACAATGCCGCCGCCGTTCAAAGAGCTGCTAGAGGTGCGGTACTTGCGGGTTATACTGGGTGGCTGTAGACGGCCGTTTGAACAAACAAAGCGGGGCGTGGGGGGCGGGGGGGTGTACTCATAGTCGTGCATGCCGTAGTCGTTAGCCCATTGACCTCGCATCCCTACAAAGCCGGGATGAAGCACGCCGGGTCCTCACCGGACCAGGCTCTCACATCACCAAGAGCGAAGCGCCGTGAGATATTCGGCGAGTCGCATGAAGGGTGCGCTGCATCCTGCTAAGGGTGTTCGGCATCTTGTGCTTACTTCCTGGCGTACGGATGACAGCTGCGTATGACTTAATTTATTCTCTGATGCTTTCACTTCCAGAGACAGTTATAAGCACTGTGTAACTGCCTCGAGG